CTGTTCCGGAAGCCCGTTCTTAAACTGAAGCTGCACTTTCCCTAATGAGGTCTCCCACCTCCGGTGCCCTTCCACCATTTGGATTCCGTTCCTAGACTGAGGTGAAGTTCATAGACTTCTGGTTTTGCGGAAGTTTGTAACCCAAACAGGGCTGTTCGTAAACCGAGGTACCACTGCAGAGCTTATGTACATTGCATTCTGCTGGGTTGCTGCACTAAGATACTCTGCGGCCAATGCTACTAGAAAGCCACCTAGGCTGTGAAGAAGAAAGTGGGGTAATATGGGAAGGAGCAGTAGATCTGACCAGAGCCCTAGTTGAGTTAGTAGTAGAGTCTGGCCCACTGCTCTGAAACCCCTTCCAGACATCCAGTAAGACTGGGTACTTATCAGGGGTCTGGAATGGAAGGTGTGTAGAAGTTCCAGCTGGGGTAGCTCTGTTGGTAGAGCATGTGGCTCTTAATTTCAGGTTGATGGGTTCAAGCCCCATGTTGGGCAAATAGATTCCTGCATTTAGACTAGATGATCATTGTGGTGCTTTCTAACTCTACATTTCTATGACTCTCTGATTCTAGAAGGTGGAAGTGGATCTAACTATTAGAAATCTGGATGATTAGCAGTGGATTGTACTCTAAAGCTTCATTGGAAAGGAAAACAAAAACAAAGGGTAGATAAATCTAGTTCTTTCACATCTATAAAAATTATACAGCAATAACATGTGTTGGGCAGGTTATTTCTCTTCACCACCACACAGACACACATGATTCACCATTAAATCTCCCTTCCAAAACAGCTGAAAGGAGAAGACTGAAGTAAATGAACATAAATGCTTTCCTTTAATTTGGAACGTATAACAACCTCAAGTAACTGGCACAGCCTCCCTGCAGATCCATAGCAATGCAGACCAAAACTTCTGGCAAGATGCAATGGAATGCTAATGGCCAATATCTATCACCCCTCAGGATAAAACAGAGTTACTACAGGGCTTCAAAATATATGACATTTTAGACATTGCTGGACATCTAAAACTAACAAAAACATCAACAACTCAATAGTCACGTTGTGCAACATGCTCACATAACTTGCGCAGCATGTGCATAATATGCCAGGCAAATGATGTCAGCAAGCGCAAATGATGTCAGCAAGTCATGCGGAATATACACACAGCATGAGCATGTTGCACATGACGTCAGCACATTGGTGGTGCTAGTCCCCCTCAATCACAGGGTCAAGCCAGCGCAACTGTCCTGAGATATGAATTTTTGCACACAACCTCTCCTATTACACATTTTTGCAAGGCATTTCCCCTAGTAGTTTTGTATGTTATTTTCATTACAATGTGCATTTTTTGTGTGTATGCTTTTTTGATTGGAGAACTGCATCATATAATTCAGAGAAGTTTGAATCTCAAAGGAAGGATTGCATTTCAGTTTGTTTATTGTCATAATATGTGGCATTTACCTTGTTGGGAATAGGCTTGCTCTGAGGTTCCGGAAAGTGGTTCTGAGCAACTTTCAGCTGGTTTGCTGAACAATTCGAAACCTGGCTCTGTTGCAACAGGTCTGGGAGAAGATAGTTTTGGTTGCTCATCCCCCAGAATCGTTCCTGAGAACTGCAGCTGAGCTTTCCTGCAACATAACCCTGCACACAACGACAACTTTTTAAGAGCTGTTCTGTGACCAGAAGTCAAGCTATTCTCCCCTCCCTTCCTCCCAGCATGCAGCACTGCTCACTTGTGGTAACACTTATGGTAACAAATGCTGGTGAATGTTGGAAGTCCAAATCTCTGTAGTACATCACAGCTAATGAAAATCAGATTATGGCAGGAATGTCAGCGCATCAGGAAAAAATGTAATAAAATAAAATGACACTGGAAATGGGATTCTGATGGATGGGAGCTGCTTAAAGGAGACTAGTAATGCTCCATGTTTATACAGTGAAGTTCATCTTCAAAGCACTTCGCAAATGATATCTAATCCATCCTCTCAGGCCCCCATGACACAGAGCCAAAGAAGCATTAGCATTCCAGCAGCAGGGTAATGGGGTGGAGTCTCTTTAAGAAGCCAGCATCAAAACTAGAAGAAGAGTGAATCTCAGAGATTGCTTCACCTTGCAAGAGCGCCTCTTATGATCTTCTCCTTGGGAAGCTCTACCCACAACCCCTTTCTTCCAGGTGAAGCCAGAAAGGTGGCTGGGAGGAGGAGGACCTTTTTATTTGGCAGTGGTGCTGAGGCTTGGTAAAGGACCCCTGACAGTTTGGCTTACAAACAATAAATAACAATGACATGATAGAACATCACAAATGCAACATGAAGCCGACAACATTAATCTTATGTACAGGATTAGTCTCCATGTGGCTGAGCCTCAGTGCTGGGAGAACGGCTGAGTTTTGTTTCACTTTCAAAGCGTCTCTCCTTATCCCTACATTCCAAGCAGAGATCTTTGTTTAAAAACAAATTCTTAGTTGGTTTTGTAATAAACCGGCTTATAACCGTGACTCATGAAGCCGGTTCCTCCACTGAGAATATATGTGCTAAAGGTGGGGGAGAAAAGACAGGGTAGGACCACAACCAGCAACTGGAATACTGGAAGATGCTGTTTTCAACAAGAAGAAAGGAAAGGAGCAGAAGTGGAAACCAGACCTGAAGTCCTATCCTCTGATCTGAAAACCCAGGTCTTTAGTTCTAGATGGTAGGAGTAGGTGGGCTCACTACTGGGGGTTTTCCTGCATAGAATTGGTAAAAAATACATTTCATTGCCAATGTGTTTAGCACTGCAACATGTGAGCAGATTTGAAGGCTCAGCCCTAGGAAGTATTATCCTGACATAAATTTGGGAGTATTGCAGAGTCTTTTGGTCTCAGGACTGATCGTACTGATGGCTTCACTCACTGCCGTTTTATTTGAAATACTCAAAATCTTTCCACAACTGCTCAAGATAGCTCATGGCATCTATTTAAGACCATTTCATTCAGCAAAGACCTAAAGCTGAAAGCATTTTTTAAAAAAACTTTAGAAGAACATACAGTTGTACCTTGGATCTCAAACGCCTTGCCACTCGAACGTTTTGGCTCCCAATTGCCGCAACCCCAGAAGTGAGTGTTCTGGTTTGCGAACGTTCTTTGGAAGCCGAACGTCCATTGCAGAGCCGGATTTAGGTTTGATGAGGCCCTAAGATACTGAAGGTAATGGGGCCCTTTATATGTCCAGCTGTCCTTTGTCAACAACAAATTGCCACTGTTTTTTGTGTTGATATATGCTACATGGTAATTTATGGACATCATAGGTATCTAAAGCTGTTTGCACATAACAAATAGGAGCCTGCACAACACTCTTGCTGTATTTTGTTTTTCATCTTCTATTTTGGAAATGTACATCCAGGGGAGGCAGCCAACTTTTGGAGCAATATTTTATCCCCCCTGCTCTGTGAAGTCATCCTCTTTGAAGCACTTGAACTTCCCGTTCCTGGTTCCTAGGAAATTGGGGGAAGTCAGCTGCAGGTTCTCCTCTCTGTTCTAAAAAGCAGGTGTCTTCCCCCAAAGGATCCTGGGAATTGTAGTTTGTTAGGGCTTCTGGGATTTGCAGGTCTATGAGGAGGAGGAGGAGGAGGAGGAGGAGGAGAAAAAGAAGAGTTTGGATTTGATATCCCACCTTTCACTCCCCCTTAAGGAGTCTCAAAGGGGATAACATTCTCCTTTCCCTTCTTCCCCCACAACAAACACTCTGTGAGGTGAGTGAGGCTGAGAGACTTCAGAGAAGTGTGACTAGCCCAAGGTCACCCAGCAGCTGCATGTGGAGGAGTGGGGAATCGAACCCGGTTCGCCAGATTACGAGTCCACTGCTCTTAACCACTACACCACACTGGCATCTCTGGGAGGGAATCTGCAATGCCCAGGATCATTTGGGGGACGTCATGTGCTTTAAATGCTCACTGGATGCACTTTAAATCAGAGGATCCTAGAATTGTTGAGTTGCGAGGGACCCCGAGGGTCATCTAGTCCAACCCCCAGCAATGCAGGAATCTCAGCTCAAGAACCCATGGCAGATGGCCGTCCAAGCTCTGCTGAAAAACCTCCAAGGAAGGAGAGTCTTACCGCCTTCCGAGGGATTTCCTCCCCCTGTCAAACAGCTCTTGCTGTCAGAAAGTTCTTCCTGGAGTTGGAATCTCCTTTCTGGTCACTTGAAGCCATGGCTTCAGGTCCTGAGGGCCTCTGGAGCAGGAGAAAACAAGTTTCCTCCCTGTGACGGCCTTGAGATATTGACAGGGCTCTCATATCCATGTCCGGAGGGACAGGGAGCAAAACATCTCTCTCTCCCCTTTCCCCACCCCATGCAGAATGGCAAGGGGTCTGTGCATCCGGCAGGTAAGAAGGTGGTGGGAGTGTGGAGCCCAGCCAGGGGCTGGCAATGGGCAGGATCCTTGCACTGCCGGGGGTTGGACTAGACGACCTTTGGCATCCCTTCCAACTCGACCATGCTATGATTCTCTCAAGCAGCTGAAGGAATGGGCGGGGGAGCAAGATGCAGAAGAAGGGGAGGCACAACCCCCCCCCAGCAGCCCCTTCTGGCCTTACCCACAGTGGCCTCATCCCAGCACACTTTGACCCCCCTGGTTTTATTTTTCTTCATTCAGCTGCCGGACAACCCAGCAGCCTGGCCCCTGTTTGCCCGCTGATGCAAGTGCTGCTTTGCAAGCAAGCCTTATAGTGCCCTGCAAGGCGGGTGCCTGTCAGATGACAGTGAGAGTTGGTAGAGAAAGATGGATTCTCAAGGTAGGAGGCCTAGAGGAGATGAGTGGCAATATTATTATTGTGAGGTGATGCTATTACAATTCCAAAGGGAATGTCAAGCAGGGAGGGAGGGGGAAGAGAGAGAGTGGAATTCTGGTGGAGACGGAAGATGGAAGGAGGCTTGGAAAGGAAGTTTGAAAGCGGGGCAGGTGAGAGTCGGTTGAGAGCAGTTGGTTCTAGAAGGGGGCATGGGGGGAGGGGCTGAAGCTGAGCTGGACTTAGAAGCAGCAGCACAGCCGCCATTGCTCTCAGCATGTGGCCGTTCAGTGCTGAAAAAAGGGGGTCTCTCCCAACTTGAGGCAAGAGGATTTCTTAACTCAGGTGAGCCATGGAGCCAGGGCTTGGCTTGTACAGAAATAGTACCTCAGGTTAAGAACTTTGCTTCAGGATGAGGACAGAAATTGCGCGGCGGCAGCGGGAGGCCCCATTAGCTAAAGTGGTACCTCAGGTTAAGAACAGTTTCAGGTTAAGAACGGACATCCAGAACGAATTAAGTTCTTAACCCGAGGTACCACTGCATTGCTAAAACCCAGATGCCTCACCCCCCCTCCAAGCTTCACAGAACTGGGCTATGCCTGATTATCGTCTCCCAAAGCAACTTGTTGTTGTTTAGTTGTTTAGTCGTCTCCGCCTCTTCGTGACCCCATGGACTCCAGGCACTCCTGTCTTCCACTGCCTCCCGCAGTTTGGTCAGACTCATGTTTGTAGCTTCAAGAACACTGTCCAACCATCTCATCCTCTGTCGTCCCCTTCTCCTTGTGCCCTCCATCTTTCCCAGCATCAGGGTCTTTTCCAGGGAGTCTTCTCATGAGGTGGCCAAAGTACTGGAGCCTCAGCTTCAGGATCTGTCCTTCCAGTGACCATTCCTTCAGAATGGAGAGGTTTGATCTTCTTGCAGTCCATGGGACTCTCAAGAGTCTCCTCCAGCACCATAATTCAAAAGCATCCATTCTTTGGCGATCAGCCTTCTTTATGGTCCAGCTCTCACTTCCATACATCACTACTGGGAAAACCATGGCTTAAATATACGGACCTTTGTCAGCAAGGTGATGTCTCTGCTTTTTAAGATGCTGTCTAGGTTTGTCTTTGCTTTTCTCCCAAGAAGGCACCGGGAGAAGCAGGCGTCTTTTAATTTCGTGACTGCTGTCACCATCTGCAGTGATCAAGAAAGTAAAATCCCAAGCCCAAGAAAGTAAAATCTCTCACTACCTTCATTTCTTCCCCTTCTTGCATTTCCTTTTCATTGGAATGATTGTTGTTTTTGTTTTTGTTTTCGGTCCACATATAGCTTAAGCCTGTCTTGTAGAATTTTAAGCATAACTTTGCTAGCGTGTGAAATGAGTGCAATTGTGTGGTAGTTGGAGCATTCTTTGGCACTGCCCTTCTTTGGGACTGGGATGTAGACTGATCTTCTCCAATCCTCTGGCCACTGCTGAGTTTTCCAAACTTACTGTCATATTGAGTGAAGCACCTTAACAGCATCATCTTTTAAAATTTTACGAGCCTCCACTCATAGTTCTTCAGGCACTCTGTCCACCAAATCTAAATCATTAAACCTGTTCCTCCCTTCCACTGTGTATTCATAAGGGATTTGATTTAGATTTATGTGGCGTTTGCCTCCTAGGTGGGTCATAAGGAAAGGGTTAAATGAGTGTGATGTGATTGGCCCTGCTTCGTTCTGAACTCCAAGGCCAAACTTGCCAGTTGTTCCTTTTATGTCTTGACTCCCTACTTTAGCATTCCAATCCCCTATAATGAGAAGAACATCCGTCTTTGGTGTCATTTCTATAAGGTGTTGTAAGTCTTCATAGAATTGGTCTGCCTTGGATTTGTATCGAGATCATTCTATCATTTTTGAGATTGCATCCCAGTACAGCTTTCACCACTCTTTTGTTGACTATGAGGGCCACTCCATTTCTTTTACGGGTTTCTTGCCCACAGTAGTAGATATGATGGTCATCCGAACTGAATTTGCCCATTCCCATCCATTTTAGTTCACTGATGCCCAGGATGTCAATATTTATTCTTGCCATCTCATTTTTGACCACATCCAGCTTACCCAGGTTCATGGTTCTTACATTCCAGGTTCCTATGCAATATTTTTCTTTACAGCACTGGACTTTCCTTTCGCTTCCAGACGTATCCGCAACTGAGCGACCTTTCGGCTTTGGCCCAGCCGCTTCATCAGCTCTGAATCTACTTGTACTTGTCCCCCGCTCTTCCTCAGTAGCTTGTTGGATGCCTTCCGACCTGAGGAGCTCATCTTCCAGCATCATAACTTTTATATTTCCCACCTGTAACCTCTTCCTCTGTTTTTTATTTTTCCTTTCTGTCTCCTAGGACATAATAGGCTGCTGCAGAGGCAAACCATGAAGGAGGCAGGAGGGGCACAAAAAGTGAATGAACCATTGGAGATTGTGGTAGGTAAATTCCATGGGGAATCCATTCCCCACATGTGCAGGGAGGTCATGGCGCTGACCTGAGTGAAACAGGGCTGGGTTGGGGGTTGCAGTCCCATCTCGCCCCAGCCCCTTGCCCCCCTCCTTCCAAGCCAGGGGTCAGGTGCCCAGGCAGGAGCTGGTTGGCAGCCTGTGGTGACGTGGGCATGGGCAGCCTGGCAGGGTGCTTGTTCTGCCCCCCTAGAGAATACAATGTCCTTCTTCCTTTGCAGGGCCGTGGTTTGTGGAACCAGCAGCAGCCCTGTGGTGCAGGGAAACCCAGCAAAATCCGGAGGTATGTTGTGACCTTGTGTGGCAGGGGAAGTGTTTCCCAGTGATCTTGGGGGTGGAGGAGGAAGGCCTGATTTAGAGATCCCTATAGTTTTATGGAGAGGGTTTCTCTGTCGTCCAGGCAGGGCCCTAGCCAGGGGGTGGTGAGGTGGACCCCCGCCAGGGGCGCAGGTGAGGGGTGGGGCACAAAATTGGCTCATAAATATGTCTAAATATATAGATGATAATAATAAATATTATCATCTATATATTTATCTGGTCCCAAATACTCCAAGCAATCAGACTAACAGAGCTTGTTTCTTCCTTAGGCAAGAGGCCCACCAGAATGAGGGGGGAAAGGCTCCTACTTTAGGTAAGTGGAAATGCCAACTGAGTGCCCCATATTTTAGGAATGTTTCCTTCCCGTGTCCCCCCTCCCTCATGTGCCAGACTGGTGCTATCATCTGGGATCCAGGCGCTTGCTGATTCCTCCATTTCCTTTGCAGGGAGGGAGCCTTTCCCCAACGTCTACTTCATTCTGGCAAAATCCCTGGAGGGACGTGGCGAACATCAGGTACTGGGACAGAAGGAAGGGTCCCTTGTGGAACTTCTTTTGGGGGGTCATCAAAAATGGGACAGTAATTTTTCATCCACCCCAGTCTCTTCCCATCAGATGCTTCCTGCTTCCTCCACAGGACCACACCTCCAGGGATGAGGCTCCAGCGCCCGTCCCTGGACGAAGAACAAGAGACCATCATAGTGGTTCCTGGCCCCTGATCCTCGCCTGCCTCACCCTCCATCTGTTCCCCGTGCGGGCATGGCTCCTTCCTGGCCGTACCTGACACAGAAGCAGCAGCCAAGGTTTCCCCCCCATCAAGAACACCTCAAGAGTTATTCCAGAGCTGACTTTGGCTGCTGCCTCTGTGCCAGGCCGGTCGGGATGGAGCCCAGACGCCCGCATGGAGGAGTTCAGAGTGGGGCAGCTTGTAAGATCAGGTAGGATGAAATGCCCCCTTCCCATTTCCCCATCCTCCTGCTCCAGACTGGGGCTCACGCGGCTGGGAGCCAGGCGCCGGCTGATGTCTCCCTTTGTTTTGCAGTGAGGAGAAGGTTCAGCCTGGGAGCTGCCACATCCCGGGAGGACTGGAGCCGAGACAACGGCCTCTCGCCTCACAGGTAAGGGGACATGAGGATTTCATTGCTTTGCCTCTATGCTTTGCCGCTCGCGATTTGCGGGTTTGGGGGGTGCAGGCAGGGGGCGCGTCGGAATGTCACCCCCCTTCAGGATGGCACCTAGGGCAGCCACCCCCTGCCCCCCATCGGGACGCCCCTGGCCACAAACAGGATTCGAGCCCAAGAGCCCTCTGTTCACCTGGGACTTCCTGCAATGGCTTCTTGAAGCCCCGTCCCTGGTTGTTTGGTCTGTGACAGACCATTCACACATTCAGGGATTCCTTCTTTCTTGCAGGGTATGGCTTCTGCATTGCTGTGGCTGCTGCTGAAGCCCCCTCCCCACAAATAAAATAGGTAAGAGGAAGAAGGGAGAATTTGCATGGAGCGGGGAGAACACCCTGCCCCAGACTTCTAAACCAACTCTCTGACTTAAAACCGAGGCGTTCCTACGAGAGCCAGTATCAAAAATCACATGGAAGCAGTACAGAAATGGATAAGGCAGAGCTATAGCTGATAAGGAATGCAGTGCTCAAGGTTTGGGCAAAGGAGGACAGACCTGGGCTAAAACGAATCTTCTTCTCCCACAGGCCACGTCATGTATGCATCTTTGGAAAGACTCTCTGAAGAAAGCAAGTAGTGCTGATAACTCTCTATCTGTTTCTCCTATAGGAAATATTCCACCTGGAAATTTCAGTGAATTTCTGAAAAGATTTTTTGAGGTTTTTTCCTTGGAAAATGTACAACTAGACCACGAGTCAAACCAAAACCACATGTCTTGTATGAAGTCGATGTCTATATTAAAAGTGTTCTCTTGTGGCTGACAAAGAGTCCTGTCTTGGTTGCCACTGTGCATTTTGCAAAACTGATTTGTGGGCAGAAGCTACATGCCAGTATTTGAAATTAGCCAGGCGCATTTTGCACCTGCCTGTTGGCCACTGGTGATTATTTAATGGCCAAAGGCCTCGGCAAAGAAACATGCAATGATGGTGCCAAGGCGAGCCTCTGGGGAGACTCCACTGAGCTGTCAAAATGAAGGGAGAAGGGGGGAAGACCGCCGGCAAAGCAGCACAGCTCGCCTCCTTATCCTGATGGCTTGGGATAGACTTGGGAGTCGCCAAATGTTGCCCCCCTCAGTGTGTGTGTGTGGCTGTGCTCGAAGATGTGCTGCTTCTCATGAGGCAAGGAAGCCACCCCCCCACAAGGGCGGGACATGGGCGGGGAGAGCCTGGCCTATCGCCGGGAAGGGGACGCGTCGCAATGCAGCTCAACCCTGCTCTGTTCCACAGGCAGCGTTGAGTTGCATTTTGTCACCCCAGTGTTTATCAGCTCCATCTGCTACGCAGGATGAGACCCTCCCTGCCCGTAGTGGTGCATGCCAAGGTGGTGCATGCTCTGGTTATCTCCCGCTTGGACTACTGCCATGTGCTCCATGCACACCTTTGAAGGTGACCCGGAAACTACAACTAATCCAGAATGCGGCAGCTAGTCTGGGGACTGGGGGCGGCCGCCGAGACCATATAACACCGGTCCTGAAAGACCTTCATTGGCTTCCAGGCTTCTGTCTATACACAGAGCCTCCATCAGCATGTCTGTTCTCTCTGAGCGGCTTAGTCATGCTGGCCACATGACCCGGAAGCTGTACGCCAGCTCCCTCGGCCAATAAAGTGAGATGAGCACCGCAACCCCAGAGTCGGCCACAACTGGACCTAATGGTCAGGGGTCCCTTTACAATAATAATAATAATAATAATAATAATAATAATAATAATAATAATAATAATATGGCAGGACCCGCCAGGCCTTCCTGCGACTACAATGCCCCCCCCAGGCCTACCTATGGCTGTGGCAGGCCTTGCAGGGTAGGCCCCAGTGAGCCTCCCCGTGGCCCCCAAGTTGGGCAGAACCCTGTGTGGGTGCATGAGCACAAATGTGGAGCCAATTGCACAGCTGGTAAGTAATTAACCTACTGCCACCTGTGAGGATATACAATGTGCAAGCTTATTTTAATTAAAAAGCCCTTTTTAAAAATTAAGATGTGCAATAGGAGCAGACTTCTTCTTATGTTCTGAACTGCAATGCTCTGTCACATGGATTGCGAGTGCATGCCATGAAATGACTGGCTATGGATCTGGCTGCCAGTAGGTGATCTCTGACCTCTTCTAGTCCTCTGGTCCCATGACAGCTGGAATGCTCCAGATGCCTGTGAAGGCTGCAGTGTTTGAATGCCTGACAGTTCTGGGAAGGATGAGGCTCCCATTAAGAACCAAGATGGATGCTGATAGCCTTTGCGCAGCCATTCCCCCTCTAAGCTCTGCTGAAGCAATAACCCACAGAGATGTATTTTATGGCTGGCACCAAAGATAGAAACCAGTCTTCTGTGTGGTTTGCTACAAGAGATAAACAATGGACTGGAGCTAAGCATCTGCGGGTGCCAGCCTGTATGTCTGCAGGCAAACCGTGAATCTTAAGTAGGAACAGCCTGATGTTTCAAAAGCCAAATCGCTAATTGGAAAATGTGGAAATGAGAAGGAGGCCAGGAAGCATTTTGCCTCCTGCTTAGCTTAAGAAACCACAAAAGTAAAACATGAATTGCAATTCTTTCTCTCTTTTGAGTTCTGCAAACCTTCTTACAGATTCAGCTCTTGGAATAGGAGCAGGGAGGAGGAGGAAGAAGAAGAAAGGGAAGAAGGTTTGTATGCCTTCTCCTATCCTCACCCCCTTGCCATGCTCCCAACTCTGCTTCAATGCACTGGTGCCTTTTGAAGGCTTGGGCAATCTTCGCGCACCCCGACTTTAGGCCCTATCTACATCACAGCCAAATTGGCTTAATAGCCATTCTCGAAACCCTGGAAATTGTAGACCTGTGATGGGGAAGGAAAGTATCACTAACCAAATTCTCGGCATGCTGACCAAGCTCCAATTCTACAACTCTTTGAGGAGATAATACAATCCCCTTAAATTTACAAAGTAGGTACAAACTCAGCTTTGTGGGGTCCATAACCCATCATCAAATGTTGCAGAGCCACCTCGCTCTCAAACAACAGTTAAACAGAAGAGCAAGCTTAAGTGATAGTTACAGAGGAGCGCTGGTTTCTTGACAACCACAAAATTTGTTTCAGAAACTGGTGCTTCTAGAAGAATTGAGATCTTCTGCAATAAGTGGTTATGACCTAGGTCACATCCACAGCATACATTTAGACCATGGGTGGGGAGCTTCCCCCGCCTCCACAGGCCAAATTTGACAGGTGAGTGAGGCCACACACCTGCCTGTCACCTGAAGCCACTAATAATGTCAGGGGGTGGGGTGCTTTGAAGTCCTGGAGTCAGACTCTGGATTTCACCACAAGGGGAGGATGTAAGTCTGGTCGAAAAGGCCTCAGTCTGCTCCTAGCAGATTGGGACTTCCTGGAACAAGTTGCTCACTTGGACTTATCTGTGGTCCTACAACTTCTGACCTGCCTTGCCTTCTTTTCCATGGGACCCAGAATCAGCCAGGGAACACAACAATGGCATTCTGCTGGCTGGCAAATTCCTATTTATATAGGTCTGTGGGCTTAATACTTTCCTAGGTTGTCTTGTAGGGATTCACCTTAACTGGCTGCTGCTCTGTTTTCATTGGAACATCTGCCTCTGAGACTCTTAAGCACAGGATCATGGGTTTGAGTCCCATGTTGGGCAAAAAGATTTCTGCATTGCAGGAGGTTGGACTAGATGACCGTTGTGGTCCCTTCCCACTCTACAATTCTATGAATTTTTAAAATACCTTTTCAATCTGATTACTCCAGTTTTCACAAGTCAGGGATGAGAATACATTTCAGCCTGACGGACACACTTCCTTCTGAGGGCCACATGCCAGTGGTGTGAGGGGCCAGGGTCAAAAGCGAGTGGAGCAACAGCAAAAGTTCAGAAGGCTAGTTTCTCAACATGCTCACACAAGGTTTAAAGCAGCTCCATTTTAAATTCAGGATGCTTTGCTGTGCCACGGAAGTGTAAATGAAGCATTGATCTAATAGACATTTAATCTGGTTTAATAACCTTTCATAATTCCCTCCCTTAACCTGATTACTCTAATTCTCATAAAATGTAAGGATAAAATATGGCTAGCACGTTTAGCATGTTCATTCCAAAGTATGAGTAATTAGGGGTAGAATCCAAATGTACAGACTAGCATGCAGGAAAATGGAAGTATAGTGGATGCTCAGGTTGTGAACGTGATCTATGCGGGAAGCATGTTCGCAACCTGGTGTCCACAACCCGCAGCGCCACGTCTGCACATGCATGGGTTGTGATTCGGTGCTTCTGCGCATGCACATAGCACGATTTAGCGCTTCTGCACATGTGCAAGCGCCGAAACCTGGAAGTAACCCGTTCCGGTACTTCCAGGTTTGGTGCAGTGCACAACCCAAAATCACGCAACCCGAAGCGTCTGTAACCCGAGGTATGACTGTATCACTTCCTGCTTTCCAGCCAATGAGGACAGCAACTACAAATTATTATGGGATGCAAAGCTCGCCTGGAACATTAGGGGTCAGTAGAAACTACACGGGAGACTGTGGGAATTCAGAATGGGTCAAATGAATTTGTCTTGGGTCAGCCACTATCTTTCTGCCTTAGTACTTTCCCAGGGCCAGTTTCTATAGCACCCCATCCATGTATGATGCTTGCAAAGGGTAATATTAGCAATATTACCACAGAAGATGGCAGGATCCCCAAGGGCATGCTCTATGGGGTGCTGGCTTCAGCCACTAGGTCCATTGGCAGACTGACTCTGTGTTACAAAGATGTCTGCAAATGTGACATTAAAGCTGGCAACATCAATCCCGCCATGTGGGAATCCCTTGCAGATGAACACAGTGCCTGGAGACAGAAAAGTTGTGCACCCCTTGTAGTGACCAGAGGAGGAATGACCACTGCGAGGAGTGTAGAGAGGAGAAACGCCATGGCACATCTGCAGCAGCACAACCAGACGCCTTCATTTGCCCCAGCTGCAACAAAACATGTCTCTCCTGTATCAGTGTCTACAGCTACTGTGCAGGTGCTATAACCTTCTGACAGTTTGACTTCACCCTCCATTGTCTCCAAAGACAGATGGATGCCAACAAGCATGGCTGCAATATTAGCAATCAGAATTTGATCTCTCTAGTTCTATGTACAGAGGATGACCCTTTGAAACGGGGCGTTGAATTACCTTCTGCTCCACTACAGAACTCCGAGGGTTCGGTTCAGTCTCATCTGGAACTCTTGCCCTTGAGAAACCCATCACTCCATTGCTGGGTAGTTGCCTAGTAACAAATGCCAATTAGTGAACAGAGATAGGGTAGGGCAGGCAAGAAAGAAAGGAAAACTCAAAAGGAAAAATCCACATGCATTCTAAACAAAAATAAAGTTACTCAATAGGAACAAGTGTTTTGCCTTTCTTTCTTTCCCTACAGCACCAAGCCCATCAAGAGTAAAATTCACATTTTACTTTTAATTTTTTTATTGATTTATACAAATATTTGTATACCACTATTCATGATTTTTTATATATATAAATAATCAAATATATTCTCAGAGCAGACATACTGAAAGACATGGCTAACATAGGTTGGATAAAACCACTAGGTTAAAAAATGCTATATGAATCGCCTCTGATCTTGGATGGTTGAGATGTGAAATCAGATATCGAGGGCTTCCTGAGTCCCATGGAGTCTGGAGTGGCTCTGCCTGCTTTCAAACAATCATGGCAATTTGGGCAGTGATCAATGGCAGTTAAACAGGATTTGCTCCAAAGATATACAGTCCTATCAACCAAAAGTGGCTTTCAAGGAACCGGAACAATGTTATTA